CCCCCCGCCCCTCCTTCCTGCAGTGGTGTGGATCAAATGCAGGCCCTTGTGGACACTAGGACAAGTGTTTTACCACAGAGCTATATCCCCTGCCTTGTTTTTTCTTGTAGCCCAGATTCTAAGTTATATTCACATTTGCTTAGAAAACCCTAACGTAAGAAACTTTTCTCCATAGCCCCACACACCCAAAAATCCTTCCCAAAACAAAATGAAATTGAACCATTTCTAGAAAAATGCAGGGTGCCAATAAATAAATAACAAATTATTTTTTTTAAATGGAGAACATGATGTCTGTGGGTGTCTGTGTGCTGATAGTTGGTCTAGGAGTCTGATTCTCACAATCGGTGTGTTATTAAACACAATCACTGTGCCCTGCTGCACCACTGAGAGTAAAAATATATCCACAGTAATTCAGTGTAAAGCTCTTGCCTAGCATGCATAAGGGCCTGGATTCTATCTCCAGCACCACAAAGGAAAAAATGTTAAGTAACCACAGCCTTTCCAATTTTTCAAGTAATGGCTTAAGTAACATACCCTGATGATACTAGTAAAATAATTAGACACATTGTATGTGTTAGGTGCCAAGGTCAGATACAGAATGAATTGAATTCTACCAAAACCACTTAATTTGCAAAACCACCCTAGGAGAGATGCTTTTACAGTCCCCATTACAGATAAGGAAACTGAGGCTGGAGAGAGAAAGTCTCTTACCCGAGGTCACATAACCAGGAAGTTGTAAGGATTTGAGCTCAGACTTCCCTCCAAAGCCACAGGCTGCATTATTAACATTTAGATGATTCCTTCTGGATTTTATTCTTAGAAAATTTTGAAGTAAAATCTATTCTTTTTGCTTTGCAGTACTGGGGATCAAACCCAGGGGCACTCTACCATTGAGCTATATCCCTTGTCCTTTTTAGTTTTGTTTTGGGGTTTTTGTGGGGTTTTTGTTGTTGTTTCATTTTGTCTTGTTTTTTGAGACAGGGTCTCACTAAGTTGCCCAAGCTGGGCTCTAACTTCGTGATCCTCCTGCCTCAGCCTCCTGAGTAGCCGGGATCACAGGCGTGCACAACCATGCTCCGTGGTGATTTATACTGCTCAGGACCCTTCTGACACTTCGATTGTCCTTCATTTCACAAAAGGGAAATAGATTGGGAAGGGGAAGTGACTTGCCCAGAGACTTCCGGCAGCTTGTGAGCTGGGAAGCCACTTCTGCAGACGCCCTGTTCTGTGTCTAGTGCCATGAGAGCCCCCCAAAAACCTCAGCTAGCCAGGGCGGAAATGTATGTAGTGGACAGCATGCCTAGAGATGGATGCAAACGTGCTGCCTCCAGCCCACAGCCCCTCCTTCCTGCCCCGGAGGAGGCAGTGTTCTCGCTCCTCTTAGGGTCCCAGGTGCCCTGTGGAGCCCAGGGCTGCCTCAGCAGAGCATATAGCCTTGTCCCCAGTGCTGTGACAGGTCTGGGCAGCTCCCTGTGCAGCCGGCGGCATGAGGAACTGGGGTGCAGCCCCACTCAACCCCCCCCCCGTGCACCCCTTCTCCACCCAGCGTGCTGAGGCCGCCCAGCGGGAGGTGGAAAGTCTTCGGGAGCAGCTCGCCTCTGTCAACAGCTCCATCCGCCTGGCCTGCTGCTCCCCCCAGGGACCCAGCGGGGTAAGGATGGGATGGGGAAGGACATGGTCTGGTATGAATAGCGGGGGATAGTTTACGGGTTGATTGTGCGCGTCTCTGAAATTGCAAACACACGTGTGTGGCTCTCTGTGTGTGTACAGGGGCGTCACATCCTTATTGCCAAGGTCAGCGCGTGGCAAAACACAATTACTGTGACCTGTTTCACCAGCTGAGGGTAAAAATGTAGCCACGGTTCTTTTAATTTTTCAAGCTCCAGCTTCCATATGCCCCTGTTTCACCGGAAGGCTAATATCTTCCTTTGGAGGCCTCCCTCGCCCTACTTGCCCAGGAACGCCGGGCGTCTCAGACCAGAGGTCATTCCCGTTGCCACGTGGAGCTGGAGCAATGCGGCAGCGGAGCCGTTCTAGTGGCTGCCACTAGGCCGCGCTAGTGGGCACTGGCCTCGCACACCTTGGTCGCATGGGAGGGACGGAGAGGCAGCTCGTTTCCAGAGCCTGCAGGCACAAGGTGTGAAGTCTCACACCACTGCTCAGCCCTAGGTTCCCCAAACCAGCCAGGCTGGTTCCAGTAGGGTCTCCCACCCCAGCCACAAGCTATGAAGAGAAACTTCTGTCATCAACCCTGAGGTCTGAGTGTTAAGCCTCACTCATCAACTCATCTTTCCCCTTCCTCCTGATCAGAGCTTCTTTGGGGTCTTGCTTTTTTTTTTTTTTTTTTGAGACAGGATCTCCCTATGTAGTCTAGGCTGTCCTAGACTCATTATGTATTCCAGGCTGGGCTCGAACTCACCAGGATCCTCCTGCCTCAGCCTCCCAAGAGTGGGGATTATAGGTGTGCACCACCACACCCAGCCCTGCTCTCTCGTTTCTTTCTTTTTTTTTTTTTTTTTTGGTACCAGGGATTGAACTCGGGACCTTGCACCTGCAAGGCAGGCAGGGGCACCACTGAGCTAAATACCCGGTCCTGCTCTCATTTCTTGACAAAGGATTTTGATCAGGGCCACCTCACTGAACCCCTCTGCCATTGTCAGCGGTCTCCGTCACTGCTTCCCAGAGAGGCCGGGGTTCCCTGTGGAAATCAGTCAGCCTTTCTTCTGGACCTCTGACACCAGGGCTTAGACACGATTCCTCCCCCAGGGTGACTGGCAGGCCCCACCCCGGAACCCCTCTCCACGCCACCTGATGCCAGGCCCAGGCATCCACGTGTCTCTGTTTGAGCATTGGAATGTGTCTGTGAACATGTGTAATCATATGTGTGTGTGTGTGCTTGTGTGTGTCCACACTTTAGAGCATGGGGCGGTCCTAAATCTGACTGTGCCTCAGCTTCTTCATCTACACAGGCAATACCTCCCCCAGGGTTACTCTTTGAACCTGCACATGTGTGTGCCATGGCCATGCATCTCCTGGGTGCCTGTGCCTGTCGGCGCGCGTGTCCGCGTGTGCTGCACCCATAGGTGTGTGTCCCAGCAGGCAGCGTGCGTGTCCGTGCCTGGCTGACTGCATGGCACAGAGGGAGCTCCGAGGAGGAGCTGTGAGGCGGGCAGTGGAGAGCGACCTCCAAGAGGAATTCGCCAATGGTTCTTAATTAACCCCCTTGGAACCCAGCAAGTGCTGTGCTAATCAGCCACAGGGAGCTGGGCTGGTTTGGGAGGTGAGCTTTTCTGAGCACAACAGTGGTGCTCGATGCTAATTAATTTAATGTATTAATGGCATCCGCTTCCTGTTTTAATTGGCATTTATCTCCATGGAAGAAAGCCAGGTTGGTAGTGGTAGGTTCTGTGTGTGTGTGTGTGTGTGTGTGTGTGTGTATGTGTGTGTACACTCACGTTTAATGCTTCTTAAATGTGTTTGGAGCTGTGCCTTGAGGTCCCTCAAACAATAACTTCTCCATCTTCATCTGGGATGAAGGGGCCTTTTCCTAAAACCTGGAGAAGCTACAGGACTTGGGGCTATCAGCAAATAGGCAGAAGGAGCCATCCTTATTGGGGCAAGTGGCTGCAAGGTCACAGGTCTAATCCTGAGGGCCCCAGACAGGGACATCACCTAGGGTGGGACCTGGACTAACTTGAAACCTGTCCAACCTCCGCTGCAGGCTGCTTCCCTTTGTGGTGGCTCTTTATTAACAACACTTGTGACTGCCACATAGCATACATGAGAGGAAGCAGTAAGCATACAGCACTTTGAAGTGTTCAGTGGGAAAACACCTTGTGCCAGCATCCTGATCCACACATAGACCTTTCCATTCTGCTTGGGACTTGCGGGGGCACAGCCTGCAGCCCCCTGTCTGAGGTCGGCAACCCCTCAAAGTCCTGCTCTGCCCCCAGGAGAAGGTGGGCTTTGCACTGTGCTCAGGGCCTCGGCTGGAGGTGGCCCTGGCCTCCAAGGACAGGGAGATCCTGCGGCTGCTGAAGGATGCACAGCACCTCCGAAACTCGCTGCAGGAGCTGGAGGAGGCCTCGGCCAGCCAGATCGCCGACCTGGAGCGGCAGCTCACGGCCAAGTCCGAGGCCATAGAGGCAGGTCCTGGGGGAGGAGACTGGAAGGCACCCGGGCAGAGGTGCAGCCTCGGGCCCCGGGCCAGCCTCACCTTCTGGGTTTCACTTCCAGAAGCTGGAAGAAAAGCTCCAGGCACAGTCGGACTATGAAGAGATTAAGACAGAGCTGAGGTACAGGCTCTTGCCTCCCTCCCTCCTCGCCTCTCCCCCGCTACCTCCTAGCAGCTGCTCTCATGCTCTTGTCTCCCCACACCAGCACCTGGCCAGTAGAGGTCAGGCCAGGTGGCTGTCTTGTCACAGGTGTGGTAACTAGGGACTGATGTGCGAGCCAGATAAGCTCAGCTGCTCCATGGGGGTCAGCTGATGCAGCTGCCTCCAGGAACGTCAGCACGGGTTAGCAAGCCACGACTTCAGACCTGTGGGTGCAGTGGGTCAGCCATACGGTCCACCCCATGGTATCCACGGGGCATCATGGCCGGGGCATCATGGCCAGGACAGCCAAGGGTGCCCAAACCTTCAGATGCCAGAGTCCCTTATAGAACTGGCATAGTGTCTGCATAGGCCCCACGCACATCCTCCCGGGTACTTGAACCCCCCCTGGACCCTTAGGGTTCCTAATACAGTGTCTGCACAACACCCCTTCATGTGGGTTCCTGTGGTCACAGATTTAAGTTTTGCTTGTTGGGACTTGTTGGAAGTTTTCTTTCTCCAAATGTTTCCCATCCATGATGGATACAGAGGGCTGCCCTCCACCCAGGAGGTGAGGGGTCAGTGCCTCTGGTGAGGTCTCTCCTCAGGCCTGGGGCCTGGTTGACTTCCAGTCTCCCCACTTTCTCCGCAGCATCCTGAAAGCCATGAAGCTGGCCTCCAGCACCTGTGGTCTCCCCCAGGTGAGCAGCCCTGCTACTGTACCTGTCCCCAAGGGCAGGCTGTCCCCAGCCTCCTGCCAGCCATGCCCTCTCAGCCCTGCTTCCTGTCTCCTCAGGGCATGGCCAAGCCCGAAGACTCACTGCTCATGGCGAAGGAGGCCTTCTTCCCTGCACAGAAGTTCCTTCTGGAGAAGCCCTGCCTCCTGGCCAGCCCTGGTAGGAGAGGAGGGACACTCTCAGGGGTCACTCAGAGGGGGACACTCAGCCGGGGTCTCTGGCACCAAGGCCTACCACCTTCCGTGTGTCAGGAGAGCCTCAAAGCAAGGGAGTGCACATTGATCGAGCCCCACTGTGCCTGTCCCTTGGGACACCTGCCCATATCATGTTTGAGGTCACACAGCTCAATCCCAAGGCCCCCCACAAGGATCTGGCCCCGGAAGAGCGTGGGACAGGGCCAGCCCAGAGCCCAGAAGGGGCCCTGTACAAGCAGTGAGGAGTCTGGATTCCCTGCCACAGGGTGACACGCTGGGCCCCTGGCTCACAAGCAGGCGATGTCCCCATGGTGGGAGGGGCTCCCAGAACAGGCATTTGTGCCGAGCCCTGAGGATAAGAAGGGTAGAGAACTTGGGGACACCTGTCAGTGTTGGCACTTCTGGTCACTGACGCCCACAGCCCTTCTCCACCACCACCCACCTGTCTTTGTCACCTTTCTCCTGCTCTCCCTCCCTCCCTCCCTCCCTCTCTCCCTCTCTCCCTCTCTCCCTCTCTCCCTCTCTCCCTCCCTCTCTCTCTCTCTCTGAGCTTCTGTCTCTATGTGTGTGTCCCTGTCTGTCTTCCACCACCTCTGTCTCCTTCCTTCTGTCTCTTGTCCCCAACCCTGGCATGTAACTTCTTTCTCTCTCATGTTATCTCTGTCTCTACCCTTGTTTCACATTCTCTCTCCTTTCTATCGGTGTCCTGTCTTCCTGGTTATTTTCCCTCGTGGTCCCTGCATCACGGTCCCCCTCTCTGTCCTTGTCTGTCTGTCTTGGCATCCTAGAGGAGGACCCGTCAGAAGACGACTCCATCAAGGACTCCCTGGGTGCCGAGCCGTCCTACCCCTCCCCACAGCAGCTCCCGCCTCCGCCTGGGCCTGAAGACGCCCTGTCCCCCGGCTCCGGGCAGCCCCTGCTGGGTCCCAGCCTAGGGCCTGATGGCCCACGGACTTTTTCGCTGTCCCCCTTCCCCAGCCTGGCCTCAGGGGAGAGACTGGCTGGGGATGGGCTGCTGCCCAAGCATATGATGCCCCCAGCTGCCTTCAAGGGGGAGGCAGGCAGCCTGCTGGTGTTCCCACCAGCCTTCTATGGCACCAAGACGTCTGCCACCCCTGCCACCCCAGCGCCTGGCCCCGAGCCCCCTGGGGTCCCTGAGCAGGCAGATGGTGGCGGGGCCATCACAGCGGCAGCTGGGGCAGAGGAGGAGCAGCTGGACACGGCGGAGATCGCCTTCCAGGTGAAGGAGCAGCTGCTGAAGCACAACATTGGACAGCGGGTATTTGGCCACTACGTGCTAGGGCTGTCACAGGGCTCAGTCAGCGAGATCCTGGCCCGGCCCAAGCCCTGGCGCAAGCTCACGGTGAAGGGTAAGGAGCCCTTCATCAAGATGAAGCAGTTTTTGTCGGATGAGCAGAACGTGCTGGCCCTGCGGACCATCCAGGTGCGGCAGCGAGGTGAGTGTCTCAGGCCCCGGTGGCCGCTTACTACCGCCCCGCTGTGGCACCCAGGGCAGGTGACTGCCTCCTTGTGCTTCCGTTTCCCTGACAGTCTCCTGAGGGTCCTAAGGATTAAATGGGTGCAAAGCACTGACCGCTGCACCCAGCAGTAGAACCTGCCCAAGAACTGCCAGGCAAGGTGCTCATCACTGCTGTTGGCATTGCCACCACTGTGCTTTTATTAGTGTTCTCTCAGGCCTGAGTCAGTCACACAGAGCACAGGCGCTTTGTCACACAGAGTAGGCAGTGGCCCCACCATACCCGGGCAGCCTGACCCTGGAGCCCCTCACACTCAGCTCCTGGACAGACCCCCACTCTGCAAGGGCCAAAACACATGCCTCCTTGCCTCCCCCAGGCAGCATCACCCCGAGAATCCGTACACCGGAGACAGGCTCAGACGACGCCATCAAGAGCATCCTGGAGCAGGCCAAGAAGGAGATCGAGTCGCAGAAGGGGGGTGAGTGTGACTCGGCCAGCGAGGCCTCGTCCACTTCCGTCCATCCCAGGGGCTTCCGAGCGGGTGAGACCTCCAGAGGCCCGCCGCTCTCTCCGGGTCACACCCATGGTCATGGCGCTGCTCCCATCCCTCCCGTGCCCCTCCCTGCCTCCAACATGCACATCTGTAGTGTTTCACACCAGCCCTTGCGCCTCTGGTGCTACCCTCACCTGGACGCCTTCCACCACGGACTCCTGCTCACACCTCAACCCACAGGTCACCTCCTCCAGGAAGCCCCCACCCCTGTCCAGGTGGATTGAATGCCACCCCTTCTTGGTCCCCGGTAATGGTCTGAAATGCTTGATGCAGTGGAGCCAGCTCGCCCACAGATGTTGGCCCTGCTGTTTATTAGTCATGTGACCGTGGACAAGTTACTTGCCTCTCTCTGCCTCCACCTTCTCATCCTCGAAACGGGGACAGTATTAGCCTGCTTTCTGGTCCTGTTTCTTTTCTCTTTTTTTGATACTGGGGATGGAACTTGGGTCCTTGTGCTTGCGCAGCAGGCGGCGAAACCACTGAGCTAAATCCCCGGCCCCCTTACCCTGCTTTCTGAAGTGAGATCATGCCTGGCAAGCTGGGGCCGTCACAAGGAAGGTGCTCCACAAAGATTGTTCCAGTCAGTATTATCCTCATTACCTCTTTCTTGTTATAACTCCACACAGCTGCCAGGGACCAGTGTTCCCGGCACAGGGTAGCTCAGCACTGCAGAGACCGGGCTGACACCAGACTCCCACTCGACTTTTGCAGTATCTACTGCCGCCTGGTGGCTGCTTGGAGCAGGTGTCCCGATTTCCAAGCCACTTGCTACTAGGAGCAAAGATGTTTCCCTATGGCCTGTCCTCCTTCCTGGTAACAGCAATGACAGACTTGCAGGGTGTGGTGGTCACACCTGTAACCCCCGCATTCAGGATGCTGAGGCAGGAGGATTGCAGCAAATTCAAGGCTGGCCTGGGCTACATAGTTCATTCAAGGCCAGCCTAAGCTACATGGTGAGACCTGTCTCAAAAAACTAAACAACCACAAAAAAGTGACAAACTGGAAACAACATACACTTTCAGCAGTGGGGGATCAGTATGTAACGTAATAGCCCTCTGGTCGCTTATGCAGGCATTAAAGCTGGAAGGGTTTTGTTGTGGTTTTTGTTTTGTCTTGTTTTTGTCTTTGTGAGGTTTTTTTTAATTTGGTCTAGTTTGGTCTTTTGAGTACTGGGAATTGAACCCAGGCCTATGCACTAACCTATATCCCCAGCCCTTTTTTTTTTCTTTTGAGACAGGGTCTTGATGAGATAGGACATTACCAAAACTAGGCTCAAGCTTATGATCCTCCTGCCTCAGCCTCCCAGAGTGCTGGGATTACAGACATTTACTACCACAACAGGCTGTGATAGAAGAACTTCTTAAGGATAGGAGAAATTGCACGCTTGTAATCCCAGCTCTTAGGAGGCTAAGGTAGGAAGATCACCATGAGTTTGAGTCCAGGCTAATTACATAGTAAGAACTTGTCTCAAAGAAACAAAATAGGGCTGGGGATGTAGCTCAGTGGCATTGCTCCTGCCTCGCAAGCGCAAGGTCCTGAGTTCAATCCCCAGAACCCCCCCCCACCAAAAGAAACAAAATAAAGATTATTTTTAAAAGAGTAATTTAAAAATGATAGGAGAAATCCTTGATGCTGGTTCTCAGTGGGGACAAACAAAGCCCTCTCTCCACATATCGAGTATGATCATACCATGCATGTGGTGTGGGGAACACACCCAAAGGAAATACATTACACTATTTCAGGTAGTCTCCTTGGGGAGAGAATGGTGAGGGATTCTTATTTTCATCCTAAGTTTTTATGCTTTCTTGTGTGTGTCCATGCCCAAGTCCGTGTCCATGTCCACCATAGTAAGCATATGTAACTTTTTTGCCAAACTTTTAAAAAATGAAGATAAGTCAGGCCTGATGTCACAGCTATAATCTCAGCACTCTGGGAAGCTGAAGCAGGAGGCTCAACCATAAGTTTGAGCCCAGCCTGAACAACTTAGTGACCTAGCAAGACCTTGTCCCAAAATAAAAAGTAAAGAAAAACTGAGGTCAAAGTTCACATAACTTAGAGCTAACAACTGTGTGTGTCATAACAGAGATCAAACCCAAAGCCACTGTACCACTGAACTACATCTCTGTGGCTTTTTATTTTTTCTTTCTGAGATAAGGGTTCATGGACTTGCCCAGGTAGGACTCAAACTTGTGACCCTCCCACCTCAGCCTCCCAAGTATGGAGATTATAAGCATATGCTACTGTGCCTGGTTGAAGTTAACAATTTTATACCCAGGTGTGATGGTGCACACCTGTAATCCCAGCACTCAGGAGGCTGAGGCAGGAGGATTGCCACAAGTTTGAGGCCAGCCTGGGCAACATAGCAAGACCCTGTCTCAAAAAAAGCAAAGACATGGGCCGGGGATTTAGCTCAATGGTTTCGCCGCCTGCTGCACAAGTGCAAGGACCCGAGTTTGATCGCCGGTACCAAAAAAATTTAAAATCTGCAATTCAGTGATGTTGAGTATAGTCTTGTTGTTATGTAGTCATTTTTTCTTTCTTTTTTTTTTTTTTTGGTACCGGGGATCGAACTCCAGTCCTTGCCCTTGCAAGGCAGGCTGTGGAACCACTGAGCTACATCCCCGGTCCCAGTCATCATTTCTTAATTCCAGAACACTCTCTCACCCCAAAAAGACCCCTATCCCATGAGCAGTCACTCCCTAACCCCCTTCCCAGCCCCTGGCAGCCCCTAATTTTCAACCTGATTTCATTTCCCTGCCTAAATCAGATGGTCTTTTGTGTCAGCTTCTCTCCCTTGTTTTTAGAGTTATTCTAGGTTGTAGCGTGGATCAGTGCTGCGTTCCTTTTTATGACTAAATAATGTTCCATCGCTGTTTCAGTTGGAAAACCATAAACATTTTAATGGGTCTGTGGGGAACTCCCCCAGGATGGAAACTGCACAGAGGCTGACCTGACTGACCCATGCAGGGGTGGGGGACCCAGGAGGACGGGCTGCTCTGCAGTTTTCCTTCCTCAGGCACAGATCCATCTGTCCTTGGGTGGTGACACTGCCATGGTAGCTCCCTGCATGGCCTTCTGCTCATGTGTTTATGTGTTCATTTGTTCATTCATTCGTGTAACAGAGAGCACACCTCTGGGAGCCTATAGCCCCACCCAGGATTTAGAAAACTCCCGAGGTCTTCACTCTTCTGGCTTTTGCCTCCTCCATGCCAAACCTGTCTGCTCTCCCAGAGATACCGTCATCCTAAATGTTTTTCATTCCTTTGTGTTTGCTATTTGTTAAAAAAAAAAAAAAAAAAAAAATTCCTCACTGAGTCACACATTGTTTATTTTGCTTCTTTGGAGCTTTATAGAAGACATGTTCATCATGACCATGTGCCATCTTCACTATTGCTCATGGTAGTTTTGCAGGGTGGTTTCCTTTTTCCCTGCTGTATACCATTCCACTGTCTAGCCATGCCATTATTTATTATCCATTCTTCTACCCATGTGCATTGGGTTTGTGCCATTATTTTGCTGTAAAACAAGGAGCATCTGTTATGTATTACAGTCTTTCTTGTCTTTGAACGTTTACATAGTGACATCATAGCATATGTAAAAGATATGCCTCTGCCATGCAGATGAACTATAATTTCCTTAATCCCCAATTGTTTGTTTGTTTGTTTGTTTGGGGTTTGTTTGTTTGTGACAGGGTCTCACTAAGTAGTTCAGGCTGGACTTGAACTCACTGTATCACCTTGAACTCTGGCCTTGAACTTGGCCTTGAACTCTGGCAAGCCTCCTGCCTCAACCTCCCTGAGTGCCGGGACTATAGGCCGAGAACCTCTTTGCCCTGAGGATGGGCCCCCACCGCCCTGTCATCGCCCCACAGGTGAGCCCAAGAACTCGGCGGCGCCCCCGAGTGTGGCCAACAGCACGGCGTCCGCCAGCACCTCGGAGGATGCCATCAAGAACATCCTGGAGCAGGCGCGCCGCGAGATGCAGGCCCAGCAGCAGGCCCTGCTGGAGATGGAGGCCGGGCCCCGTGGCCGCTCGGTGCCCCCGTCGCCCCCCGACCTGCGGCCCTCGCTGGCGGCTGGGAGCCAGAACGGAGCGCCCGCCTTCGTCAAGCAGGAGGACGGCGTGGGCGGGGGCGGCGCCGCGCCAACGCCTCTCACGGTGCTGTCCCCCGCCGCCTTCGTGCAGAGCATCATCCGCAAGGTCAAGTCCGAGATCGGCGACGCCGGCTACTTCGACCACCACTGGGCCTCGGACCGCGGCCTGCTCAGCCGCCCCTACGCCTCCGTGTCGCCCTCGCTGTCCTCGTCCTCCTCCGGCTACTCCGGCCAGCCCAACGGGCGCGCCTGGCCCCGCGCCGACGAGGCCCCCGCGGCCCCCGAGGATGAGGCGGCAGCGGCGGAGGACGAGGCGGCCCGGGCCGGCGAGCTCAAGGCCGAGGGTGCCGAGGCGGGCGGCGGGCGGCTGGCCTACTACCCGGCCTACGTGCCGCGCGCGCTCAAGCCCACCGTGCCTCCGCTCACGCCCGAGCAGTACGAGCTGTACATGTACCGCGAGGTGGACACGCTGGAGCTCACGCGCCAGGTCAAGGAGAAGCTGGCCAAGAACGGCATCTGCCAGCGCATCTTCGGCGAGAAGGTGGGGAGCGGGGAACAGCCGCTAAGGGCTAAGGGGCCCCGGCGCAGGGGTGTCCAGTGCGTTCGGACTGGTCGGGGCACTGCACATATGGGCTCGACCTTGTGATCCTCCTGCCTCGGCCTCTCAGAGCACTAGAATTAGGCATGTGCCGCTGTGCCCAGCTTTCTGCTACAATTTATTAAAACGTCACTTTTGCCCATAGCAGAGGAACAGCTTCCTGGGGGAGGACCCCGGGGGGCTCTCCACTGTCGGACAGGCACTGGGGTTGGGGATGCAGTGCAGCACGTGGCAGGCTCCTGAGGTGTGAGGGACACTTGAAAGCCAAGGCCCGGGGCCTGCTTACCTACCCTGCTTGTCCTGCCATCCCAGGTGCTGGGCCTGTCGCAGGGCAGCGTGAGCGACATGCTGTCCCGGCCGAAGCCATGGAGCAAGCTGACGCAGAAGGGGCGGGAGCCCTTCATCCGCATGCAGCTGTGGCTCTCAGACCAGCTCGGCCAGGCCGTGGGCCAGCAGCCCAGCGCCTCCCAGGGTGAGTCCAGCCTCCTGGGACCTCAGAGACCCCCGCGCCGGGCGGTGGCGCTGTGTCTGGCTGTACGCCCCGTGGGTGTCCCTCTGTCTCTCCTTACTGCCCTGGCTCTGGTCCCACTGCCTGCCCACGCCCCTTTCATTTTTTCCTCAACCAGAGGGACGCTTCCACCTCCTGTCTGCCTCATGGAGCCCTGGTTTTGTGCCTCTAGGGGGCGCCAGGGTGCCCAGAGCGCTTAGAGAAAATATTTTGCCTGGCTTTGGAGATGGACCCCAGCTCTTTTCCCTAAATATCCATTGTACAGCCTTAGGCTCCTTCTTAGCACAGGGACCAGGGCCCCCGTTCCCCATTCTTTTATTTATTTTTTTTCTTTTTTTTGGTACCGGGGATCAAACTCGGGTCCTTGCACTGGCGAAGCAGGTGGCAGAACCACTGAGCTAAATCCCCGGCACTTCCCATTCTTAATGATGGCGGGGGCTGGGTGGGGGGAGACTGAGCTTTTCAGAGCTGAGGAAACTGAGCCAGAAAGCTGCCCAAAGTCTCAGAACTGGAGGGAGTCGTTGGAGGGCAGGGGCAAGCTGTCTCCTGCTCTGATGAGCTGCAGCCGGTTGTGTGGCGGCCCTGGTGAGCCGCCCAGCCAGGCCCCGAACTCAGGTGAGGCCACCTGGTTACAGGAGAGGCCAGGACCTACCTGCTGAGACCCGGAAGGGAAAGACCCAGGGCCCGGGACCTGCGCCTAGCTTCAGTTTCCCGACCTATGAAGTAGGAATCAGTCCATGGAAAAAAACCATGTTTTAGATTCACAGAAATGAGCCCACCTTGGCAGGGTGTGTAGTGACAGAATGGCAGGCAAGAAAGCTAACGTCAAGAGACAAAAACCCAAGTCTCAGGTGACAGTGTGGACATCACTGGTGACACACACAGACAAGAGCACACACCTTTGTTGTCTTAGGTCTGCAAGCCTGTGTGACAGAGAGGGCTGTGCCGCCTGGAGGTGGGGAAGGGCAGCCTGGGCTTTGCCGTATTTACTTAGTTAATTTCCGTTGGTTGATCTTGCAGATCATCACCAACTTCCTTTTGTTGTTTAACTTTTCACTGGACTGAAGAGTAAAATCAGAACAACAGACTACCTGTTCACCACACCCGCATTCACCTCCTGTTCCTTTTGCGGCACTGAGGAACTGGCTGGCCACGTCACGTCCCTTCACCCCTAGCGCTCAGCAAGTGCAGCTTCCCTCAGGTTCTGTGGTCGCAGGGACACCAAAGTGCACAGATGCTGGGGTCCTCATGTCCTGCTTCCTGTGACCTGACCCCTCCTCCTGTTACTTTAGATCACCTCTAGGTGACTCATATCTCCTCACACAAGGTAAATGCTAGGTAAATAGTTGTTGTACTGTATCGTTTATGGGATGGTGATAAGAAAAAAGTCTGTACCTGTCCAGTATAGACACAATTTTGTGGTTGTTGTTTTGAGACAGCATCTAGCTAGGTAGCCCAGGCTGGCCTTGAACTCGTGGTCATCCTCCTGCCTCAGCCTCTCGAGTGCTGGGATTAAAGGCGTGCACCATCACACTCGATTGACACAATTTTTTAAAATTGATCCGTGGGGGCCGGGGATTTAGCTCAGTGATTCAGGTCCCTGTCTCGCAAGCGCAAGGTACCGAGTTCGATCCCCAGTACCAAAAAAATAAAATAATAAAATTGATCAGTGGTTGGTTGAATGAGGATATAAAGGCCATCGGTATTTCCCAAGAAACATGGAAATGTGCCATGATCCAACAGTATTGCACAACCTATCATCTATAGCCACCCTAATAGCGTCCTTTATATATGTATATTATTAGAAATTACAGTGTAAAAAATTACATATATATAATTTTTTTCCTTTCCAGGATCAGATTCAGAATCACTAGTACCCACTTTCCATTTTAAAATTTGGACCATCCTGTCTCCCTGTTTCCCAACTTTTACTTCTTTTTTACTTCCCATAGCTCTGGGGATTGAACCCAGGGCCTGTGGCACCGTGTCCTTTTGGGTGCTTCAATCAGGAAGCACAGATGGTTGCTGCATCTTGTGATGCGTGATTGGGTGGCATCCACTGGGAGCACTGCTGAAAGTGGCTGTCCGCCCTTTGTGGCTAATAAGTGGCTCATGGACAGACACTTGGAGCCCTTGTGAGAGCCCTCAGATGGTCCCTTCCTGGGATGTCACCATGGCGGTGGCAGAATGGGTTGGTGCCAACTCTCCGCTCTAACCAGCCACCTGCCCAACCTGGGTGCACCCCTGCCAGGTGGCAGTGACTGCTTTCTCCTTTGTGTGGCCCACAGCCAGTCCCACGGAGCCCAGGTCCTCACCATCACCACCCCCGAGCCCCACAGAGCCTGAGAAGAACTCCCAGGAGCCCCTGAGCCTGGCGCTGGAGAGCAGCAAGGAGAACCAGCAGCCAGAGGGCCGTTCTGGCTCCACGCTGGGCGGGAAGATGTACTCGGGCAGCCAGGCCACAGGGGGCATCCAGGAGATTGTGGCCATGTCCCCAGAGCTGGACACCTACTCCATCACCAAGAGGGTCAAGGAAGTCCTCACGGACAACAACCTAGGTACAAGGTGGTGGGGACCAGGCACGTTGCCTCCGGCCCTGGGTGGCTCCTCTTGTCTCAGAAAAGGCGCCCTCTGGTCCAGCCCTCAGCATCTGGGGTCTGTGTGAGGCCTCTCACTCTGACCCTGACCACGGTCCCTGTAATGGGACAAAAGGAAGGTGAAGGCTGGACCTCTCACCCCACAGCTCTCAAAATCCCAGTGCTGAAATATTTGTTCTATGGGGACATGCAGAGAAATCTGCTACAGGGCTATGTCTTTTTTTTTCAGTCACAAATTCCTCTGAGTTCCAGATGCAGGTTAGGCCCCTCTCTCAAAGGGAGGCATGCAAGGCCTCTATTTTCCCTATAATTTATATTATAAAAATAATACATGTTCACTGGGCATGGTGGTGCATGCCTGTGATCCCAGCACTCGGGAGGCTGAGACCTGGAGGATCACCTCGAGTTCAAGGCCAGCTTGAACTACATAGTGAGACCTTATATTAAATAAACAAAAAAATAAAATTTAAAAATAAAAAAATACCAAACTGTACAGAAAAAATAAGTTGTAACTAATGTAAGCTAGGGATGTAGCTCACTGTTAGAACGCTTGCCTAAGATGCACCAGGCCCTGGATTTCATCCCAAGCACACTACAGGGAATAAAAAAAAGCAAGTAAATAAATCCCCCAGCCGTCTTAACCACATTACAGTTTTCATATATCCTTGACACTTTCTGAACATGAACGAGAATGTATATACACCTAACTCCTCCTCTTCTTTTTTCTCTATAGATGCAATGATATATGTATTATCTTGCTCTTGAAAAATGAACACTATTTTGTGGATGCCCTTCCACATTAGAATGATTCTATCCCTCATTTTTTTTCCAGCTGTAGATGTGCCATACTTTTTAACCCAAATGCTAGCCATTTTTGTTGTTTTCAATTTCTTGCTACCTTTAAAAATAGCCAGGGGAGGGGTCAGGGATTTAGCTCAGTGGTTCCCCCGCCTGCCTCACAAGCACAAGGTCCCAAGTTCAATCCTTGTACCAAAAAAAAAACAATAGCCAGGGATTTAGCTCAGTGGTGCCACCACCTACCTCTAAAGTGCAAGGTCCCAAGTTAGATCCTCAGCACCAAAAATAAATTAATTAATTAAATAAAATAAAACAGGGCTGGGGATTTAGCTCAGTGGTTCCTCCACCTGCCTCGCAAGCCCAAGGACCCAAGTTCCATCCCCGGTACAAAAAAAAAAAAATATTTAGGGGCCGGAGGCAGAGCCCACTGGTAGAGCAGTTGCCTAGCATGTGCAAGGCCATGGGTTTGCTCTCCAGCACTGAAAAAGAAAAGTCTGTACACATCTTTGTGCCCTTGGGCAAGCATTGCTTTAGGATCAATCCCAGGCAGTGGAATTGCTGCATCAAAGGATGTATACATTAAAATTTTGATAGAATCTGTTAGATATCATCTAACAAGATAATAATGAGTGTGTATACATGAAGTTTCCAGGCTTCAGGGAGCCCCTTAGGAGTGAGGAACCTCTTAAATTGAAAAAGCATTTGGAAAAAAAAAAGGGGGCCAGGGATTTAGCTCAGTGGTGCCACCACCTGCCTCACAAGCGCAAGGTCCTGAGTTGGATTCCCTGTACCAAAAAAAATTTTTTTAAAGAAACTAAAAGCATTTTTGTCAGTTGCTGTCTATCCTACCCCCAAATCGCTTTTTCGAGAAGGCCCTCATCAGGTTCCCATTGGGTGCGGGACCCCCACATCCCTGGCTGTCCCTTCTGAGTTAGTGGAGCATCTCAGCTCAGTTCTGCATCTCTGGCCTGTCCCTTGTCCCACTGGGGAGCGGTTTCTCTGCCCAGCCTGGGGTAACAGGCTGCTCCCTGTCCCCATCCCTAGGGCAGCGGCTGTTTGGAGAGAGCATCCTGGGCCTGACACAAGGCTCCGTGTCTGACCTGCTTTCTCGGCCCAAACCCTGGCACAAGCTGAGCCTGAAGGGGAGGGAGCCCTTTGTCCGCATGCAGCTGTGGCTCAGCGACCCCCATAATGTGGAGAAGCTGAGGGACATGAAGAAGCTGGAGAAGAAAGGTAAGAGCTGGACAGGAAAGGGCCCAGTGCTGGACTCTGGGCTGGCCTCAGTTTCCCCTTGAGTCTAGATAAACCCAGTCTCGGCCTGGTACGAGACCACATGAACTAGCAATCCCAAAGAACAATGCAACTGAGCACAATTAAAGTAGGTGCATCTGCCACAAAAGTCCAATGTCCCATCTCTTCGTATCTTTTCATACACCATGGCTGCTCCACAGACTTTCAGGGGAATTGAACCCAGGGCCTTTGCACTGAGCTACATTCCCAGCCTTTTTAAAAATTTTTCATTTTGAGACAAGGTCTTAGTCACTAATTGCCCAGGCTGGGTTTGAACTTTTGATCTTCCTGCCTCAGCCTCCCAGAATGCTGGGATTTCAGGCATGTGCCACCACACCAGGCTGTTGCTCCATGGTCTCTTGCCACCTTCATCTTCATACTTCACCAAACACTCAGTGCTTCCCTCCTCTGCCTCAACTGCATTATACAGTCACCCTCTGCAGATTACCCACCCTCTACCCAACATAGAAAGGAAGCACTGACCAGCAAATAGGAAAGGAAGCAACCAGAGCTCCATAGTCCCTCCAAGGGTACCCCCTGAAAACCTCCCCCTTAAAGTTTCCTCACCTGCCAATAGTGCCTAGTCAGCAACCAAGTCTTTAACACACTGGGCTTTATCGGGGTATGGTAGTACATGCCCAGAATCTCAGCAGTGAGGGGTCTGAGGTCAGTGAATCATGAGTTCGAGGCCAGCATGTGCTATATAGCAAGACCCTGCCTCAAAAATCCCCCATGGGCTTTAGGGGGACAATCCAGATCCAACCCATAGCAGTGCTTTTTTTGCCCCAAATTTTGATAATTTGGGTTCACTTAATGCCCATCTCCCCTCTTCCTACCAAAGACTGCTGTGAAACCCAGGGGCTCCTCTGACAGTTGAGAGGATGACATAGACCACCCTTGGTTTGAGCGTTTCCTATAGGCGAGGCACCCTGCCAAGCCCTCAGCACAGGTTGGCACTCAGAGCCAGGAGCAGAGCTGCAGGTGGAGGGGCTGGGAGAATGTGGGCAACGAGTGAGGGTTGGCATGGCCACGGGAGCACCCGCTCGGGCTCCTGCTATGCCCAGGGAGCTGGTGCTGGTGCCAACAGCCCCTCCCGGCCTTGCTCCCTCCCCACACAGCCTACCTGAAGCGCCGCTATGGCCTGATCAGCACGGGCTCCGACAGTGAGTCCCCGGCTGCGCGCTCTGAGTGCCCCAGCCCCAGCCTGCAGCCGCAGGACCTGAGCCTCCTACAGATCAAGAAGCCCCGAGTGGTGCTAGCGCCTGAGGAGAAGGAGGCGCTGCGGAAGGCCTACCAGCTGGAGCCCTACCCCTCACAACAGACCATTGAGCTGCTGTCCTTCCAGCTCAACCTCAAGACCAACACGGTCATCAACTGGTTCCACAACTACAGGTGGGCACAGGGCACCCGTGGGCAGGCGGACTGGTGGGCACCTCCAAGACCCCACCCCACCCAGGGCCCCCAGGGCCCCTAAGTCCATTTCATAGGCTTGAACTAAGAGGTTGAAGGACCAACACATTTGTATGAACTGCTCTGCACATAGCCCAGGTTAGGGAGTCATCTGGGGCAGGGGTACAGTCAGTGCCACCCAAGAGTACTGAGTCCAGGCTCCCAGGGTCCGTGGGGTCCCCCTCCAGCCCTAGGCTCACCACCATCTTTGCCCCAGGTCCCGGATGCGCCGGGAGATGTTGGTGGAGGGAACCCAGGATGAGCCAGACCTCGACCCCAGTGGGGGTCCTGGTGTCCTGCCGCCAGGCCACTCCCACCCGGACCCCACCCCACAGAGCCCAGACTCGGAGGCTGAGGATCAGAAGCCCACTGTGAAGGAGCTGGAGCCACAGGAGGGCTGTGAAGATGGTGGCACAGCCCTGGCTGCCCCGGACAGGGTCCACGTGCAGATCAAGCAGGAACAGACTGAGGAGGATGCGGAGGAGGAAGTGGCCGGCCAGCCCCAGGACTTAGGGGAGCTGGACAAAGGCCAAGGGCCTCCCAAAGAGGAGCATCCTGGCCTCCCGAGTAGTGAAGAGCTCCCAGAGGCCGCCACAGGGCCCCTCCTTCCAGGGGGGCCCACCCCAGACTGCGCCTCACTTCACCCCGCCCAGGAGAATGAGGCCAGGGAGCGGCTGCACTCGGACCCTCTAAGTTTTAAGTCGGCCTCAGAGTCCTCACGCTGCAGCCTGGAGGTGACTCTGAACTCACCCTCTGCAGCATCCTCACCTGGTCTCCTGATGTCTGTGTCACCTGTCCCCTCTTCCTCGGCTCCCATCTCCCCATCCCTGCCCGGCGCCCCCCCTGCCAAAGTGCCGAGTGCCAGCCCCCCTGCTGACACGGCCGGGGCCTTGCACCCCAGCGCCAAGGTGAACCCCAATCTGCAGCGGCGGCATGAGAAGATGGCCAACCTGAACAGCATCATCTACCGACTGGAGAGGGCTGCCAACCGGGAGGAGGCCCTGGAGTGGGAGTTCTGAGGGTGGGGTGAGGGGCCAGGGCACACCCATGACCACCACCCTCCGCCACCCACTCTCCTGGACAGAATGCCCCGTCCGAATGTGGACAGCAATGTTATGCCGTTTACGTTTTTTGTTGTAACCCTAGTGCTATGAAGCTGTGAGTGCGCAGGTGAGGCAGATGCATCACCCCTTCCTTCGGCAGCCCCTGCCCAGGGGCCCAGGAATCCTGCCCTCCTCCCCACCTGTGCCCCTCCGCAGGAGGCAGGAGCAAAATGGCACCACATTTTCACCCCAAAACTCCAAACTCTTTTAGAGAAATAAAGAAATATTTATAGACCTCTTTTAGATATTTTAATAAAGGATCCTTTGGAATTTATTCCCAGCTAATGCTGTTTTGATATTACAGAGTTATGAAATCAGGATGCTGTCACAACTGTTGCAAAGTATACACTGAAGTTGTGTCGTTTTTTTGTTGTTTTTTTTTGCCACTAGATGAGATTAAAAGAAGATAATTGTTCAAAGCCATCATAAAACACTGTAAGACTGACCAAATTTAGATACCCTTCGAACCACGGTTTTTCCCCACACCCGTCTGTGAGACACAGTGCATTGCTACTGCCCTTCTAGAAACCGTGCCGAAAGGAGAAAAGTCCAAAAGACTCTAAATAAAACCTCGATGCTGTTGAGGATGTGTTCCATTCTGGTGGTCTGTCTGCAACCTTGAGAACCCAGACTGCCCTGTGCTGTGGTCACTGTTGCAGAGATGCGGCCCAGCCGTCCCATAGGAGATGCAACACAGTGCAACGCGAACTGCTCACACTCCCCGAGTCAGAAAGCTGTGGGCACAGGGGTCAGACATCCACCTTGTCCATCTGCAGACAAGACCTAGGACAGCCGAGTGTGGGGGCCAATGTCAGAGTCACGCCGGGGCCAGAGTGACCCCATTTCCCAACCTGAGTCATGGCCACCCCAGGAAGCTTCCCCACTGGGATGAGCACAGGCATTCCAGAGATGACTGCAGCTGCCATCTTCCCTCCTACGTTTGGAGAAAGTGACAGTGTTGGTCACCCCACAAGCACTGAAGCTCAGCAACCAGCGCCAAAAAGTAGACTCATCAAACCAGAAAACCCCAACTCCTCTTTTTGCCATCTTTGTCTTAAGTTTGACCTTGGTGGTATCGCCGGAAGGTGTCGTCTGCAGCTCCCAAGTCTACATGAAAGTCTGGACTGTCCCCATGTCCACGCTCACCTTCCTTTCCAACACATGGGCTTCTGGGAGCAGAGACTCAACTCCCCAATCTGAGGACCGCCTCCTCCAGCATCTTCGTCAGAGCTTCTAGGGAGAGAGGGCACCATATTGGTTGTTGGACCGCTCTAGTTTTTACTTCTTTTTTCAAATTCTGTGGGAAGGGTGAATTGGGTGGCACCCCAGAAGGAAAATGAAAAGGTGACCATAATGTGTCAGGGGGAGAGGGACAGAGTGAGATGGATGCCATAAACATTTGGAACCACACAGGCAAAACCCCGTGACCAGCAAGGGACTGTTCCAGAAATCTCAACTCTCATGCACCCAGCCAGGCTGCAGTCTCCACACCAAACAGTCAACATCCAACATGCCCTGAAGGAGGACCTCCTTTTCCATACACCCAGGCTATGCATTGAAGAGTTTTCCACTGTAGACATTTTTATCCAGATGAAGGTATTTTTATATTGTGACAATAGGAAACAGTGACCAATTTTCAGAGTAGCCCAGTCTGGAACAAATGAAACATCTCCTTTTAGCTACTAGCACCCTGTTGCAATTAGACACCCATGGGGGAAACACACCACTTTGTACTCTTGAAACCAACACAAGTGTTCAAATCCAGGCTTCCATGCAAACTGCGATTCTTCGAGAACTCACTTAGGCTTTAGTGTGACGGGATTTGATCAAGCACTTAGTCTAGTCTTTTGAACACAGAAATCCTGTTATACTTAAAGCTGGTGGACCCGTGAACACCTTTGTCTGGTTCACGTCCTGCAACGGTTAAATAAATAAATAAATAAATAAATCCACAAAACTGTTTCTATGAAAGATTGATGAACTTTGTTTAAAATTTTAAAAAAAAAGGAACCCATTCTGTAAACGAGTCGCTAAATATAGAATTGTATAATAATTCTGGGTGTCCGGCTTCTTTGTTCTGGAGATGGGATTGCAAACTGGAGGTCGCATCTGGCCTTCAGAGGTGTTCCACAAAGCGGTATTTTTAGAAACTACTTTTTGGCATACAGCTGTGATCCAAGCTACTCGGGAGGCCAGGGTTGGAACATCGGTCACCCTGGGAAACTTAGCAAGATTATGTCTCAAAAAAAAAAAAAAAAAGTACAGGCTTCTCTTTAAAGCCCTAAAACCTAGCCACACATCAGGTCACATTCAAATGTGACAGTAGCCAGCTGAGGAATGGCCTCTCGTAGACGGGGCACAAGCCATCACTTGCTCACGTGGGCCACCTGCTTGGCCCTGTGCCATCCAGTTGGCAACTATTCTTTGGGCTCCAGCTGGTTTATAAATTGTGGAGCGTGGGAGCATTGCAGCCTGGCCTCCTGACGGGAAAATACCGAGTGACTTCCACCACCAACACAGCTTCCCCCTCCCCAAGCGTGTAACTTGGGCCTCAGCTTCGTCGATCTTAAACAGGTTGTCGTGGCAGCCAGCTCAGAGCGACCTTCTGAGGACTGATGCTTGGAGCATGTGGAGCGTAAGAGCCAGTGCAGAGTGTGCAACACACACAGCTGACCTGCGTGCCCAAGACCCCCACCTCCGCTCCTTGTCACCCTGAGTGGCCTGGGGCCTTTCAATCCTATGTGGGTGACCAATAATGCCCAGAGAGCCTGAAGGGCCATTGAACATTACTCACTCGTGAGCCAAAGCCACATGGTGTCCCAAGACAAACACCCCTCTTGCCTGAAAACCTTCCACTTGCCTCGTCTTTCCACATGTCTGTGCTGTGGGAATTAAGCGATCATCTCATCTCACCTAGGAAACTATGGCTCTCAGGCCAGCAGGAAGGGCCTTGGGATGCCTGAACACCTAAGGCAGGGCCCAGGGCCAGGGGAGTTGGGGGTGAGGGCCAGGCCCAAGCACCCCTGCAGCTCCAGTGCCATCCCCAGCCATACCTGGAGGCTAGGAAGTCCTCCCTCACTAACCGTGTGTAAAGATCCAAAGTGGCTGTAAAATCTGAATTCCAAAGGGACCCTTCCTTTGGAGCCTCAGTTCTCAGCTCTTCAGAAACCAGGCAGGGGCACGGCACATGCCTGTGGTCCCAGCTACTACTCAGGTTGAGGCAGGGGGATCACCTGAGCCCACCCTAAGCAACATAAGGAAGGAAAGAGTGGTGGGATTTGGGACGTGAAAGCCTCCTGAGAGCCTGAGGAGTCCCATCGGCTCTGGGGACTGAGGCTCCATGCTACATCACCAGCTCTGGCGTGGACATTGTGTCATTGCCCTAGAGTGAAAATTGCAGGTGAAACAGAGAAATGTGAATTGTGGACTGGGGAAGGGGAGGTGCAGGTGAGATGGTCCCGGGCGTTCCACAAGGAGGTAGGTTTGAGTGGAGGCAGAGGAGAGCTGCAGCCAAGTCAGTGTTTATTTCGTACCTGGGGTGTATTCCTCAATTTGATGGGATCAGATGATGGGAATACAAAGGCCTGGAAGGTTGGGAGGGGGAGAGAACCGGCAAGCACTGTAACCAGGTTCTGGGGTGCTGGGGTCTCCTCCTGGAGGTGGTTTCTAGGTTCTTACTGCCTTGGATAAAACAAGCACAAAAGGTAGTCGCAAGGTTTTACGTTTCTTAAAGGTAGGAAAAGAAACATGCTCTGCAAAGCGAATTTGGGCCAAGTAAGAGTAGGAGAAAAGATACACTGCGGCTTGAGAGAAGACTCCTGTGAGAGAGAACACAGTACCCCCAGGTCAATGGCAATGGTCTTTTGTATCTCCCACATGCTCAGCCAGAGGTCAGGTCTAGGCCAATAGAAAACTCGTTCCAGTTCTCGCGAGAAGAATTGGAACACCCACTCTCCGGCTCCCGGTGCACAGGGCTTTAGGAACTGTTCTGCGCATGTGTCCTGGAACTTTGTAAGGAACAGATCACGCCCACCAGGTTGCCTCTTCCTAACCTTCTGCTTCAGCAGAGGGACCACAGCGAGGAAGGAGAGGTAAGGAGAGCAGAGCGGGAGGCTGGCATATGGGCGGGAGTGTAGGAGGGAGGGAGATAAGCCCTGCGGAAGCCCCTCAGGGCACGTGGGAAGCAGGCCTTTCTCCTGAGAGCCTTGGGGAGCCTTGGGAGGTGTGAGGCAGCGGTTTGCTATGGTCAGAGTTGCACTTTTAGGCAGAAGTTTGCATCTAGGGAGGCGGCAGGCTGGAAGACAGTGGTTTGGCTGCCCCATAGGCCTCCGTGCCCAAGCTTCCTACAATGCCCCTCTTGTGTCCTGGTTTGTTTGGTTGTTGTTTGTGGTCCTGGGGGATTGAACCCAGAGCGCTGTACCAGTGAGCTACGTGGTTTTGTTTTTTGTTGTTGTTGTTGTTTTGGGGGGTTGCTTTGTGTTGGGTTTTGTTGTTGTTTTTTTGAGACAAGTTCTCACTAAGTTGCCCAGGCAGGACTTGAACTTCAGTTGTCCTGCCTTAGCCTCCCAAGAGCTGGGATTACAGGTGCGAACCTTGTCTCCTAGTTTGGCTCCTCCTGTTCAGCCTCTCATCCCTGGTGAATGAACAAAACCAAACCTTACTTGGGGGTCTAAGACCACTGGAGCAAAACTATTCTAAAGGTCTAGCCCCCATGGCCAAGACACCGAGTTTCCGCTGCTGTGGAAACTGGGCTGCTCTCACCAGTACTCTGACGCTGAAGCCACCCCTAGGCAGGGAACTGCACAAGACAGCAACTGAGTTACCTTGGACCAGGTGCTCTGTACACCAGGTAACAGTTTCCCCTTCATGGCCTGTGACCTGTCCCTGTCCACATCCTGACACTGATTTGAACTCAGCCACCAGGGAATTCTAGGGCTTTGAATGACACCATTTCCTTACCTGTAAAATGGCCCTGAGTGTAACCTGTTGGCATAGGTTGTCTTATTACTGCATAACAAATGATGCCAAGGAAAGGAAAGGGCTGGGGATATAGCTCAGTATGAAGGGCCTGGGTTCAAACCCCAATACTCCCCCCACCCCAAATATTTCCCAGACCCTGCCCCAGAATTCCTGGAGCCAGGGCCAGGAATCTGCATTTGCCATGCCCTAGGCAAACCAGATTCAGGCCCTGGCAAAACAGGAGAATGAGAATAGAGGTCAGAACAAACACAGTGGGTATCTCCTCTTAGCCAGGAACTGTTGGGTTGAAAGAAATCACAGCCAAGTGATAGATGTGCATGGCTTATGAGGAGGATCAGACATCTCCTCGGACCCATGCAGTTCTTTCTCCCGCCTGGTGTCATGGCCTTTAGGGTTAGGGTTAGGGTTAGGCTACGGCTACTCACTGGCCAAGCCGTCTGTTCAGTGCCCACAGATGCCTTAGCTCAGAACTCTTAGCACCCTGATTGGCTCGGCTCAAGTCTTGGAACCAGCTCTTGTTCACATGGCTGCAGTCAGGGAGGAGCTGTGGGAGCTGAGGGAGGGGCAGGGCTGAAGCCAGGCACAGTGCCACATACCTGTAATCCCAGCTACATGAGAGGCTGAGGCAATTTAGGGGGGGCCCTGTCTCAAAAAAGAGAAAAGGAGGTGATCATAGGGCTGTTGGTGCCAACCTTGAGTGCACTGAGCAACTCCCCTGGCCCCATCTTTTTTAAATTTATTTTTGTTTGGGGGGCGGGGGTTTGTGGTACTGAGGATCGAACTCCGGACCTTGCGCTTGCGAAGCAGGTGACGGAACCACTAAGCTAAATCCCCAGCCCTATTTTTGCTTTTTTGGAGACAGAGTCTATTTAGTTTAGGTTGGTCTTGAACTATGAAGCCCGAGCAGATCTCCAACTTGTGGCAATCCTCCTGCCTCAGCCTCCTGAGTGCTGGGACTACTGGTATGCACCACCATGCCCAGCCCAACCCCCTTAACCATTCCAAACAGTGCTGTGGTGCTGAATGTAGACTGCCACCACCATGTCCAGATGGCTCCTCACCTGTAACCCTAACTCCATTCCCATGAAGGACCTTCTCCCTGTGTGCTTCTCACCCTCCTGCTGTGTGTGTATGTCAGACTGTTGGGCACCTCACTGCGGAGAACCACACAGGATTGGTTCGGAAGCACACCCATGTGTGGCCTGCGTCAGCCTTTCCTTCCCCTCTAAGGCTGCATGTGTCCCCTGTGTGTAGGGACCGCACCGTGTGTACCCATTCCCGCCCAGTGATCACTTGCGTTGCTTTTGCTTCGTGGCTGTCGTGAACAGCACTGCTGTGAACATGAGTGTGTGGGTCACCCTGGGACCTGGCTGCATTGTCTGGCTCTAGTTTGAACTGTGTGAAGACCGACAGCCCGGTCTCCACAGTGGCTGCCCCTTTGCGCTGTGTCTCTCCACATCTTTGCCAACACCACTTACTCTCCTGCTGCCACAGCAGCCACCCTAAGGGCTGTGAGGTGATGACTGTTTTTTCTTGTTTCTGTTTGTCCAGTAGGGCAGCTAAACCCCCAGCCCTTTTTTTATTTTTTATTTTGAGACAAGGTCTCACTAAGTTGCTAAGTTGCCCAGGCTGGCCTCAAACTTGGAATCCTCCTGCCTCAGCCTTCCAGAGTGCCGGGGTCTTAGGTGTCCACGGCCCAGCTGAATTTATCTTTGCCCATTTTAAAATCAGGTTCCTTTGTGGTTGTTTTTTAGAGTTCCCTAGATTTTCTACGTTCCAGTCCCTTACATGATTGCCAGTGATTTGCAGGTATTTTCTCAAGCACCCACCAGCTTAAAAGCCTTCATCAAAAAACGCAAAAATCTACAGCTGAGTTTAAAGTTGTGTCGATTTCGCCCCCTTCGACGCCGAGAGTGTAGAAAGTGTGGGAGAAGGTTTACACCTCCACAGAATGTGCAGTCGGGGAGGTAAGGTGTAGGGGTGGCGGGGGGGAGCAGTTGGCACCAGATCTCACCGGAGAGCAGGGCAGAGCCCCACACAGGAGCACAAGCTGCAGGGCCACATAGCGACGTGGTGTGGTCAGTAGGTGTTCACTCTGGAGAAGAGGAAGCCTCTTAGTAACGAAAATGTCCTGCACACAGCTTCAAACAGGGACATTTGTTACACCAAATAACAGGACGTAGGATAGGTTCCCAGATCCTCTCCGCAGCGGTTCAAGGCCATTTTCAAGTGTGTGCCAAGCTCAGGTGTGGCACTGTCTTTAGCGGTGGCCTACTCCACAACTCCAGGATGGCTGCCATAGTGCCATGAATCACGGGCAGAACCTCCTGCCAGGGAACAATAAAGAGCTCTTTATTAGAGTCCCTCTTTTTTCTTGTAATAGAGTGACTTTTTTTTTTTTTTGGTACCAGGGATCGAACTCGGGTCCTTCCGCTTGCGAGGCAGGCGGCAGAACCACTTAGCTAAATCCCAGGCCCAAAGAGCTCTTTATTGAGTCTCTTTTTAAAGGCAAGAAGACCCTTCTACTCACATCTTATACGACAAAGTAGTCCTTGGCAGCTAAAGTTTAGCCAGTGCCTGTAAGTCAAACATCAGCAACATCACCAAACGGGACTGATCATTTAGGGTGGATGGATGTTGGCAGGCAGTCGTAACCTCTAACCTGAGGGTCTCACCCCCTGGCCTAAGTGGCTTCTCAGAATATTCCTCAGACCACACAGTGTCCCCTGAACACCCCTGCCCTGGGCCAGGAGGTAATGGGCACAGGTTGGCAGTGGATGTCCAGCACTAGTGGACTCAGGGCAAACACTGGCAGGCGAGGGCACTCCTGTGACCCTCTGTCTCGGAGCTGCCTCTCTCCTAGTGTCTCCCCACTCTGTGTCCCATGCCCTGCAGCTGCTGTGGTCACCAACACCACAGGCAGAACCGACTCAGCCTGTTTAGGGAGCCACTTCCCCAGCACTGGTCAGCTGCAGTCCCACGAAACAGGAAGAATTACTCAGCATGTAAGTGGCCCGATTCCCTCAGCTGAGTTTTCTTTTCTTTCTTTCTTTCTTTTTTTTTTTTTTTGAGACATTCTTGATGTATAGCCCAGGCTGGCCTCAAACTTGCTGCGATCTTCCTGCCTCAGCCTCCTGTGTCAGGATTACAGGTGTGGCTCACAGTTGACTTTCAAATCTTCTCTCCACGCTCCATCCTCCCCCAGCTCCTGAAGACTGCTCTCCACAGGATTCCAGAAATTTACTCCCACTCTGCTACTTTCTAGCTGTGTGGCCTGGGAAAATGGCATGATCTCTCTAAGCCTCAGTTTCCTCATCTAGAAAATGGGGCCTGTATCTGCCCTGAGGTTATAAGAACGTGTCTGGCCTGGGATCAGCCACCAGGGACCACACACACAGTCACTTCCCTTGGAGGGTCTGCTCTAGGCTGTCACCAAATTAGTGGGCCTCCCAGACTGCTGGGATTACAGGCATGTGCCACCATGCCCAGCTTGCAGGGATATTGATGGAGGCCGACATGAGACAATCAGCCATTGCTTGATAAACTTGTTTATTTTAGCCCTTGCATTCCCCTCCCTGGCTGCCATCTCTCCCACACCCAACAGCAGAGGCAGGGCTACCCTGTCATCTTCGAGTCAGGAAGGGAACGTTCCCGCCTCTACCCCCGGAGATGAGGCCACAGTACCTTTAATCTGTAAACCTGCACCAGACTGGGCTCAACGTGTCACTTCAAACCACTCCCGAGCTCGGCCTGCCCAGGCCCTCCCACACACCAGAGCCCTTGGACAAGAGCTGCACACCCACACCACGGGAGGAGAGGGACTGGGGAGCGTACCAGACCCAGCAGCTCTGCCAGGGAGAAAGCAGGGCCTGCTGGGGAGAAGATACAACTGGGGGCCTGGCCCTGCAGGGCTGCTGTGTCCTGTCCTGTCCCACTGGAACACGACAGGAACAAAAGCAGTGAAAACACACAGCTTTGTTGCCAGGGGAAAGAAGAACACCCTACATATTTAAAACTAAAATTCTCAGCCAAGCTCCAGCCCACTGAGCCAGCAGGGAGCTGGGGAGGCCTTGACTGCAGACAGAAACCCCTGGTCTTCCAAAAACAGAAGGAAGGGGCCAGGGCTGAGTGTGTTATCACCATGGGCAAAGTCAAGGTGGGGGTGGAGGTGTCCCCTGGGGTCCCCATTTGGGGCACTGAGAACTGTAAACATGACCCAGGGGAGGCTGGAGTGTCCCACCACCCTGGGAATCTTCCTGGTTGAAGAGCTGTCAGGCACTGTGGTGAGTGAGAGGATAACCTAGGCTGGACAGGGAGCCCAGTCTCCCCAGAGACAACTGGGGCATGACAAGGGTGACTGGCAGGAGCTGGAGTGGGGTTCCGGAGCCCAACACAGCTCTGCAGCCACCTTCTCTTTGTGCCTGGAGCAGCACCTGGGCCCCTCCTGAGCGGTGAACCTGTACAAAGTCAGCTTGGGCCATGCAGCTCCTGGGAGCCCCGCCCCAGGCTAGGACAGATGACAGAGAGCCCCAGAGGGCCGCCAGCCTGGGCAAAGTCCTTCCTTGGCTGTTCCAGCCCAGGGACCCCAGGCACCAGGGAGCTAGCTGGTCACACTCACTGCCTCTGGGCTACTGTCCCCACCAACCACCTCCTTCCAAAAGTGGAAGGTGGGTGGGCCAGCCTGGTGCAGGTGCAGAAGCAAAAGGGCAGGCCTGGTAAGGTCCCTGGCCCCACCCTATCCCCATCCACAGCCAGGGCCTGGCAGGAGTGGCTGGGCCTGAGCCACAGGCTCCAGTCAGGCTGGTTCTGGCCTGTGGCCAGCAGGAGGCCTTGTAGGGTACCAAGCCCAGGCCTGGGGCTTGGCCCATCAGGATCCTTAGGTGCCTCCAGGCCCGGATTCTCTGTGGAGTCAGACACAATGGTCTCCTCATGGATGGGTCTTTGGAGTCACAAGGTCCTAAAGTTCCCCTTGGGGACTGGCATCTCCCCAGAGCTTGAATCCCCTGAAACCAGGCCACTCAGGGCCCTTGGGGCTGCCTTGACCGCCATTCCCTAGACTAGGGGTTTGGGGCCAGGCAAGGGGGGCTGGGGCTTGAGTCCCCCGGGGAACAAGACTGTGGTGACTTCAGGGCTGGGTCTGGCCCCCGAGCCACTGACCCCTGAGCGCGCGGACCTCCTGCCCATACCACTCATGCAGCTGTGCAAAGGGTGCCGAGTCCGGGGGTCTGTCGGGCGTCGAGGCCCTGCGTCGGCGGGGTGGCAGCGGGGGACAGCGGGGGCCGGCCGCAGGGGGCTCCGCGCTCCACACAGCAGAGCAGCAGCCATTCTCCTTGGGCCGCCGGGGTGGGACCGTGACCTCGCCATCGCCGCCCGTGCCACGCATGGCCGCCAGCTGCTGCTCCAGCTCTCGCACCACCAGGCGCAGGTAGTGGAAGCTGGCGCGGGACAGCGCCTTCACCCAGCCCTCCAGTGCCGCCTGGCTCTCGGCCGCCAGCGCGTAGCAGCGCGCATGCGCCCCTGTGAAGCGCACAGCGAAGGCGAACTCCTCGGCCGCCTCCACCAGCTCCACGGTGCAGCCCTCCAGCACGATGACACCCAGCGGCTCGCGGCTGCCCGGGCCCTCGAAGTAGAAGAGCATGTTGCCGCGCAGCACGAACCAGCGGCGGTGCGAGGCCGTGTGCCGCCCGCCCTTCTTGTGCAGGAAGCCTGCGTGGTCCACCGGCGCATCGCATGTCGCGTAGAAGGCCAGGCTGCGCTCGTTCAGCTTCATGGTGCCCGGGCCTGTCCCCACCCCGGAACAGCGCGTCATTCACCAGACCTCGCCAGCTGCTCACAGCAGACTTTGGGGGTCGGGGGAGACGGAGGCTCAGATAAGAGGGGAGGCAGCCTGCAGAGCTCACACAGTTCCTAAGAAGCAAATAAAGGTGCTGAGCTGGGCAGGGGATTTAGCTCTGGTTTCGCCACTTGCTGCACAAGCGCAAGGACCCGAGTTCGATCCCCGGTACCAAAAGAAAAGGTGCTGGGCAGGGTGTTGGATGCCTGTAATCCCAGCACTCGGGAGGCTGAGGCAGGAGGATCACCAAGAGGTCAAGGCCAGCCTGGGATACACAGGTCCAGGCTGGCCTGAGCTACATAGTGAGACCCTGTCTCAAAAAATCAAACAAACAAACAAACAAAAAAGTACTCAATCTCGATTCTGCCTGGCCCAGGAGTAACTCTACAGGCCCCCTGCTGGTCTGAGTCTCCCAAATACCGTGCAGAGTTCCTGCTGCAGGCCAGATACTTAACATATACGAACACACAGCCTCAGATGCAAACTGAAGTGGGCAGGATCTAGACTTACTGCCATTGGGCAGATGGGGAAACAGGCACATTAATCATTCACCTGGGGTCACAGCACTCTGAGCAGAGGTAAAATTCAACCCCAAGCCTCATGATAGCCACTGTGATTCCTACCATCCCTAGAACAAGAGCCACAGAACAAGCTCTGGTTTCTTGGCTCAGGCCTGGTTTCTCTATCATAAAACAGGGATATGAAAAGAATCTACTCCACAGTTGCAGGAATTACCTCCATGCATCAGAGATGTCACGCCTATTGTGTGCCAGCACTGTCCTAGACACCACAGACACAGCGATAAGCCAGATGGCTGGGGTCCACCCTCCTGGTGCTGACGCACTAGTGCAGCTGGGAGGAGCACAGAATGGACAGACTCTGAAGGGCCATGTGGAGGAGCAGCATGAGGGAACAGTGTGTGCAAAGGCCCTGCAGCAGGAAGTATGCGGGGGGGGGGCGGCAGTGGGGTCAAAGCAGAGTGCAGGAGATGGGGACAGGAGGAAGATGAGAGCAGCCATGAAGCAACTGTTTGGAAATAATCTGGATGAAGAGGCAGGCCCAGGCCTCAGCCCCACCTCCTAGGCAGAAAGCAGCAAGGAACGCTATGTCCCTGTCCAACAGAGAGGGCTGACTCCATGCATTTGGCCACAGTGGTGTCACCCACCTTCCTGGTCTGTCCCCAGGTGTTCCCTGGCCACTTAGAGGACCTGCATGTCACATTCCCTGCTTAGGACAGCAGCTACAGTTCCCCAGAGCTGAGGAGGTAAAGTCCCTGGGATGCAGTAGGTGCTCAATTCATGTTTACTCCCCTGGCTGGGTGGTGCCTTGCTTGGCCCTGGAGGAATGAGGTCAGGGTGGCAGCTCTCCTGGGAGAAAGAGAGTGAGGCCCAGCCAGGCCAGCTGACCCAGGGTGGAGGGGTAATTGCCACTCTGTGCCACCACCTGGGCAGTCCAGGAAGGCAGCCTGGCAGTGGCGATGAGTTGTGGCTGAGATCTGCCTGTTCCAGCCTGGAAGCAGGGCTGAGGGCTGATACCCTGAAGGCTCAAGGTGCTTCCTTCCTTGAGCTGTGTGACTTCAAAAGAAAGCTGTCCCTCTCTGAGCCACAAATGACACCCACGTGGACCCTGACCCCATTTCTCCCAGGAACCTCCTGCGCCATCTGCCCGTCTCCCTCCTACCTTGCAGGTTCTACTCAGCTCTGGTTGTACTTGGTTCAAGGGGTGGCTCTGCAGTCTCCAGGCTGGGTGGCCCTGGGCAAGCTGACCTTTCCAGGCCTCTGATTGCACAGCTGTAGAATGGGATCATGACAGCACCTGGTCAAGGCACGTGACCCCTGCAGTGGCAACTGTGGACGTCCTCCTGGACTCCCCAAATGCTCCCTGTAGTGCAACCTGTCTCAGAAGATGGGCTTTAGTGTCCCTGTTATCCCCATATCCCATCACTAAGGCCAGGTGACTCCAGTGTCCCTTGCTGCCTCAGCTCCAGCCACCCCGGCCTCCACCTCTGCCATGCCTCAGATGGCCTGGCCCCATGCCCACCTCAGGGCCTTCTCCCCCCATAACGCCCCTGTGTGGCCAAGTCTTCATCTTTGCCTCAGTCCGACCACCATTCCCCAGAGAGGCAGCCCCCAACTGTGCACCAAGGAGCCACCTGCCACCCTCCTGTACACCAGCCCAAGATTACCAGTGTCATTTCCACCTGCTGCAGGAGGGCGGGCCTTCCCTCTGAACCCCAGTGACTGGCAGGTGGTAGGTAAACAAATACCTGTAGGAGGAATCAAGGAGTTACCTCTCAGCACCCACGTAATTACCCAAGAGTATGGCTGAGTAAACAGCCCCAAGGGGACTGATCTTGGGGTCTCCCCACCCCATTAAGACCAAGGAGGAGCAAGTTCCCTGGTGCCCAACATCCCTCCTTCCCCTGCTGCCCAGATGGGGCCAACATGGTTCAAGGTCCCCAGCCAGCGCCAGACCCAGCTCCCCTATGGCCCCTACCTCCTACTGGCAGGCAAGAATGGGGAGGGCAGGGAGTTCCAGAGCCCAGGTCCCAGCAGCCTGCATCGAGGGCTTGGTCCTACCTGCCTTATCTCCTGGTGCTGCTTTCCAGAGTTCAGAGTCCACTGCTGCTGCTGCTGCTGTCCTCACTGCCACAGCCACAGGCACAGGCACTGCTGCTGATCCAACAGCCTGTGACCATGCAGAGAGCCGGGCTGCCCCCCCACCCCAGCCTCACACCTGGAGCCAACTTCCTGCCTCAGTTGTCTAGCCCGGAAGACCCTGGACAAGTCACTTCACCTTCCCATGCCTCGGTTTCCCCATCTGTTAAACGAGCTGTGAAGAGGATTTTCAACGAGCTGAAATAAGGACATCCCACGGGTAAAGTAGGGGAAAGTCACTGAAAAATATTAATTGCTCTGAGGTGGGGTTTTTACAACTGCATCTACACAGGGAGAAATGTGGACATCCATTCCCCTTGGGAAGCTTGACTCAATTCATTCTAAAGAGTCGTTTTGCAAACTGCCAGATGGGTAGCAGCCAACCAGGAAAAGAGCTGCCAGAAAGGCAAATCTTTAGCCCAGGGCTGCAGGGGCACAGCTGGCCCCAGGTCGAGGGGAAACTGAGGCATAGCATTTTGCCACTCACTTCATGGAAGGAAGCCAAAACCACAAGTCCTGGGGAATGACTGTAGCTGGCCCGAGTGTCCCCGAGCAGTGGGCATGGGAGAGGGCGGGGCGGGCACAGACAGGAAAACGTGCCGGTACGCCAAGAGCCGCCGTCCAGCAGGGACCCCCAAGGACGCCGGGACCGACCTCTGGGGCTCAAGGCAGTCCCTCGGCAGCAGCTGTAATGCGGTGTGGGCTGCCCCCTGTCCCTTTGTGCCTCGTGTGGGAACCTCTCGAGTTCCTGGAGGAGCGCCCCGCGCGCCCAAGGGGAGACCAAGGCAGAATGGGGCGCCAACTAGAGGGCCGTCCGGAGGGTTCCTTACAGCGCTGGGGGAGGGGGTGACTGGCCCGGGTCGCCCGGCAGCTGGGGAATGAAGGTTCCCAGCAGCGCGGCCTCCAGGCGACCGGAGGTCACCGCGCCCCTCGCTGGCCCGACCCCAGCCCGCGTCCCCGTTCCCCGCGTCCCCTCGCAGGTCCTCCTGCAGTCCCCCGCCTGGCCGGCCTTACCTCGCGGGCAGGCCTACGGTGGAGTCGGAACGGGAGGCGCGCGGCCGAGGCCCCAGCCGGCCATGGCCCACGACCCGCTCGGTAGCAGCGGTGGCGGCGGCGCTTTGTCTCCGGGGCGGCCGCGCTGGCGCAGCCGCGGGAGAGCGCGCCTGGGACTGAAGCAGGCGGGGCGGCCGGACAGTAAGCGACCCGCGGGCGCGCCCCTTCAACCCTCCCGACCGCCCGTGCAGGGCCCGCCCCCACGTGCCTCCCGCCCCCGGATTGGCCGGCTCCGACCCGGCACGCCCACTGTGAGCCCGCTCCTGAAACCACTCTTAAGGGGACCGCGGCTGGTTCAGGAATCCCCACGGACCTGTTCCAGAAAGCATGAGGATTTGAACCCGGATAACTCAATGCAGGATAACTCCAGGCTGCCGATTGACCTGGGAAAAGCACAGGGGCCCTAGGGGAGGCCGCAAGCTGAAGTCCTAGGTTTAGGGTCCAAACTTGCCTCTGTGGGGTTGCCAGATTTAGCCAATTTAACAATGGCCGGCTCCGTTTGAAAAATAACCCTAGATCCTGGAAATGTGTGATTTGTAGAAATAAAGCTGACTATAGGGCAGAAGTACAAGACCGCGCTAAATGTACATGATGCCTGGTAGTCCAACCTTGTATCCCTAAGAAGAGAGAGATTAGAAATGAGCAGAGTTCGAATCCACTAGGCTTACTGAATCCCACCTTAGGTCGCTTCACTTCTGAGGCTTCCTTTGTTTCCTGTGAAACAGAGACAAGCACAGCATATAAAGTGGACGTCAGCAGATCCTATCAGTAAGTAGAAATTGCTTCAGGCAGGGTTGTTTGATTTTTTAAATTGTTTGTATGTATGTACGTATTTATTTTTGGACACAGTCTTGCTGAATTGCCCAGGTTGAGCTCGAACTTGTGATCCTCCTGCCTCAGCCTCCTGACTTTGGGTGTGGACTTCCTAGCAGGGGAGGTCCCTACTGAGACTCCCACACCTTCTGCTCTACCCTGAAGCCTCCTACACACCTCCACCCTGCCGGCAGCAAGGAAAGCCCTCCCCTGTGCCAGAGCAGGGCCTGGAGCCTCTCACCCTCAGTCAGGGGGAAAGGAGCCAGGGACTCTGGGCTGTATAATCTTGGGGAAGTCCCTTCCGGCCCTGGGGTTCACTCTGCTCTGGGAGACCAGACAGTCTGGTTTTGTTGTTGTTTTACGGGAAATTGAACCCAGGGCTTTTGCACTGAGCTACATTCCCAGCTCTTTCCTCCTTTTTTATTTTGAGACAGGATCTCTGTGTTCAACCTTGTGATCTTCCTGCCTCAGCCTCCCAGAGTGTGCCACATGCCCTTTTGGTGTGTCCCCTGGAGGTTCACAGTTACTCAGGAAGAATCTGCGAGACCCACAGCAAGACCATTCAGAGTGGTCCCTGCCCCCGGCCATGATGATTGGTTCATGTGACCCTGGCCAAGCCAATGGTACTGCCCTGCCTCGGTATGGGGCGGAGCCATAGCCTGCCCGAGGAAAGGTAAAGAGCCGCTGGGTCCCGAGGTACCTGCCGCCACCCCCTTACCTGGATTGGAAATCAAGGTGGCGTTGAACCCCCAGGGCTGTGAGTCTAGGTTCTCGGAGCTGCCCTGCCAGAGAGCCCAGGCAGAGATCAGCGCGAATGTGGCACTTTTGGAGGGGTCGGGTCCTTATTACTCATTTATTAAAACTGATGTGAAGGGCCGGGGATTTAGCTCAGTGGTTCTGCCGCCTGCCTCGAAAGCGCAAGGACCCGAGTTCAATCCCCGGTACCAAAACAACAACAACAACAACAAAAAACGGATGTGAAAATGAACATAACAAAAACCAACAGGTTAGGTGACGTTCAGTACATCCATAATGTTACCAACTACCAACTCACAGGCATGCTCCTATAATCCTGGCTGCTCAGGAGGCTGAAGCAGGAGGATCACAAGTTCGAGGCCAGCTTCAGCTCCATAACAAGACCCTGTCTTAAAATAAAAAAGTAAAAATAAAAAGGGTTGGGCATGTAGGTCAGTGGTAGAGAGCCCTGGGTTTAATGCCCAGTACTGCAATAAAAAATAAAGAAAGATGGGGCCAGGGATTTAGCTCAGTGGTTCTGCCGCCTGCTCCAAAAGCGCAAGGACCCGAGTTCGATCCCCGGTACCAAAAAAGAAAGAGAGAGAGAGAGAGAGAGAGAGAAAAGAAAGAAATATCACCTCTATCCAGGTCCCAAACTTGGGAGTGATGGTTGAGGGGGTTGAGACAGGGCCTCACTACGTAGTTCAGGCAGGCCCTGAACTCACTATGTAGCTGAGGCTGGCCTGGAACTTGTAACAATCCTCCTGCCTCAGCCTCCCCAATCCTCAGGTGACAGGCGCACACCACCATGCTTCAAGTATTTCCAAGACACTTTTATCACCTCAAAAGGAGACTCTGTAGCCATGAGCAGTCCCTTCCAGTTCCCCCTTGTCTCCAGCCCCTTGGGGGGCGCCCCACGCTATTTTCTGTCTCTGGATTTGCCCTTTCTGAACATTTCTGGTGAGCGGAACCAGATATGCGGTCCCATGTGCCTGGCTTCTTCCACTCCCCTGTGTCCCCAGGACCCATCCATGCTGTCACCGGTATCAGGCGTCTGTCCTCTTCCTGGCTGAGCAGCAGGCCATTGTCCAGACAGACTATTCTGTTTGTCCGCCCCTCCACGCGTGCATGGACCTTGGGGTGTCCCCACCGTTGGGTTCCTGTGCCTCACTGGGCATCTTTGTGTCTGGGGATGCGGAGGTGAGGGGAAGGGGATAGTGACTCAGTGGACAGAAAGGGAACTTGGGAGCCGGAACTGGGCTGTGGTCACTGTCACCAACTCCTGATGGTTTTATGTCCAAACCGTGTCTGGAGTCTGCCACTTCTCCACCTCTGCTGCGCTTCCCACCCCAGGCCACTGTCATCTCCTGCTAGGTCAGTAGCAATAGCATTCTTTCCCGTTCCTTCTGCCACTCAGACACCCAGCCCCCAGACCTCTTCTCTGTGGAGCCTGAAGGATCCTCTCAGGACATCTGTGACATCAAGCGAGGGGAACACTCCTGCTCAGCCTTGATGTGCCTCCCCATTGCCTGTTCCAAGTCCAGGCTCTGGCCCTGAGCACCAAGGCCCTGCTTGCCCTGGGGTCTGGCCACCCTGGAGCCTCCCCTATGCCAGTTTCTCTGCCCACTCAGTGTGGGCCACCTGTCCCCCTGCCATTCCCAGGATGCACCGCGCTGCAGACCTGTGTGCATCTGTGAGCTTCTTGGATGATTTCTTCCTGCACCCTCCCTTCCCCAGCATCACCCTCACCAATGAACCCTTCACTGGGCCATCGCCTCTTCCAGTAAGGACAGGACCCCTACCCGTCCGCCACTCGTCTCCCCAATCAGTCATTCGGTCCATCAGTATCAGTGCGCACTACTTTGTCCTGACACTAGGGACACAGGCTAAGAAAACAGTCACGTGCATGGTCATAGCAGTATTATTCTCCAGGAATACAAAGTATTAAGAGGGAAGAGGTTTTGGTGCCAGACTGAGATTCAAATCCCAGCTCCAAATCTGGGCAGCTGTACAACCTGGAAGAGTCACTTCACTTCTGTGCCTCAGTTTCCTCATCCGGAAAATGGGGACAGGAAGGGTTGTTGGAAGGATTCAGGGAGCTTCAGAGCCCCTCCTACTTTGTCACTCCCTGCCTAGGGATTCCTTACCTGTGGCCTGTCTCCTGTTTTATCTGTGGCATTCACCGTTGTCTTCAGCCCCGAGAGATTCAAACCTCATCTGGTGACAGATATGAGGCCAGAGGGGACCTTCAGGTGACCTTTGGCTGGAGAGTCCAAGTATCCGCCTTCCCATGTGGCTGAGTCCAGTCCACAGACACTGGTGTCGGACTCAGTTTCTCGGCCTCTGGGCTTCTCTTTGCTCCGGTTCATTGTCAGGCACCGGAGGGTTTCCCGAAGCTCAGCTTATGCAGTCCCAGCTCTAAGCCCAGTGGAAGGAGATCGCCTCTTACTGGGCTGTCCTGCCCACGGCTGGAATCCAGTCTCACTGGTCTCGTGCCGTCACCTGTCACCTGCCCATCTATGAACCAGTCACTGGGGCAGGGGCAGAAGGATCCACCCCAGGGGCTGTGTGGAGTTGAGCCTGTCCAGAGAATCAGAACCAAGGAAAGTGGGGAACCAGGACCCACATCCCCACTCATGGGATGTCACCTCACAGTGAATGGAGACCGGCTTGGGGACAAGAGAAGCAAACCCCCATTCCTGCCCTGAGCTTCTGCTTCTAAGAGCAGTGCCAAGTACTTCCCACCCTCTTCCTGCCTATGCCAGTGGCCCCTGCTGCCTCAGAAGTGAAGCGACACAGCCAGATATAGCCATGGCTGAGAGCTCTCCTTGCCCAACCCCAGCCCAGCCATGGGTCTGGAGGGGACTGGAGTCCAGATTTCTGAAGAAGCCAGGCGTGGTGGCACCAGCACTCAGGAAGCTGAGGCAGGAGGATCACTGAAAGTTCGAGGCCAGCCTGGGTGAGATCCTGTCTCAAAAGGAAAAAAAAAAACCCAGATTTCTGAAGGGAAGTTACTCAGAAGCCTGGGCTCTCAGATAATTCCTTCCATCCTGGTGATTAATGACCCCGAAACCCTTTCAGGTCCTGGAGAGGACACTGCAGCTTCCACCACCAGTTATGACTGCCCTTAAAGTCCCCCCTGCCCTGTCTGTAGCCTGCAGCCTCCCTTCTGGCTGCTTCTGGCCCTGATGGTGACTCTGAGCACTGTCACCTTCCCCTCCCTGCAGCCCCAGACCCTCCCGAGGCCCCCGTGGTGCCTGTGGGTGGCAGGGCTCAGTGGCCTTGAACTTGGCACCCAAGGCTGTGCAGCCAGTGCATTTGGGTCGCAGTGAGGCTCAGCCTGTGCTCTGGACTGGGATGGCCGAGATGAGGGCAACAGA